CAATTTTGAAAATATCTTGACAACTGTACTTCAATACAACTTAATTCATTTTTAATTCTTCATATTTGATTCTGTGCACTTAAAAACATTATTCTAAGAAAGGGTCCATGGGCTTAATCAGATGGCCAAAAGGGTTCATGTAACAAAACAGGTGAGAACTCCTGGTGTTATCTCTTTAGGCACCAAGTTCCTCTCTTTAAAAGGGAACTAACTGTAGCCCTCGCTGGTTTGGCTTAGCAGTTAGAGCATGGACCGGCGGTCGAGAGACCCGGGTTCAGTTCCCGCTAAGGGTGTGCCTCCGTTGCAGTTTGTCCCCGGCCCTGGATGGGTTGTGTGCAGGTGGCAGCCACTCGATGTGTCCCTTTCGCATCGATGTTTCTCTCTCTCTCTCTCTTCTTTCCACTCTATCTGAACAAAAAAATGGAAAAATGTCCTCGGGTGAGGATAAATAAATAAATAAATGTAAAAGGGAACTGTACTAATGACTTTCTGAGACCCCTCCCAGCTCTACCCCTCCCACTATATGGAACATGGTGCTCCAGGTGGGGAGGAAGTGGGCGGACACCCACATACACCTGAGTGAATTAGCAGTCTGCTTTCAGTTCTTATACCTGCATTTGGGAATCTATAAAGTTAAATGCTTTTAGACTCCTGGGGCCTAGTACAGTGAACTGGCTGAAAAGCTAATGGTGAAAGCCAATATTCCCCCCAAACTAACTTTTATCCCATTAAAATAAAAACTCGTATCACAAATCCCAACAAACAACAATGAATTATTTTGCGAAGAATCCATCATCAACATAATCTGGGTCTATTCTTCACAAAAAATAGCAGACTGAAAATAAATGTGCCAATAATGAGAATACTAATCTGAATATTTATCACTAATCTTTGCTTAAAATCTAAATAAAAGTGTTTATAGCCTCATATCCTCCAGCAGAACAAACTAAGCAAAGAAAGAAAGAATGAATAATGGGGAAAAAAAAACAAGGAAAAACGAGGGAGAAAGAAAAGGGTTGTCCATGGCAGAGGGGAAGAGCACTTTTTCCTCAACTCTCAGCACTGAGCACTTCACACCTGGGTACCAATGGACCAGACATTTCAAGAAGCAGGCCCACTGGTCCTCTCACTTGATAAATCAGTACACATAGGTCATTTAGTCCCACCCAACGCTAAAGAATGAGTCAACAATGCTATGTTTAAGAACTAAGAAAGCCATCCAGCCAGGTGGCTCAGTGGTTGAGCATCAACCCATTCACCAAGAGGTTGTCTGTTGAATTCCCCGTCAGGACACATGCCCCAGTTGTGAGCCAAATCCCCAGTAGGGGGCATGCAGGAGGTGGCCAATCCATGTTCTCTCTCATCAATGTTTCTATCTCTCTCTCCCTCTCCCTTCTTCTCTCTCTCAAAAACCAATTTTAAAAAATTATAAATAAAAGAACTAAGAAAGCCAGAATAGAATGTATATCAGTCCCTGTAGGAAAATCTAGGCTATGTCAGGGACAGCCAACAATGGTACCAAGTTAACATAAGACGGTAGAGACTGTTAGCTTCACTGCCCACAATTCAAAGTGAGATCAAAGCGCTACCCTCACACAGAAAATCATTAAAATGCTTCAAAATGACCATCGCATGGTTTCCTTCACTGGGAAATGAAACCTGTTTAGCACTCAGAAGTGACAACAATCAAACCACCCCTCAAAGTCCAACAAGCCATTTTTTCCAATTATACTTAAACGAGTCCATCTAGTTTATGCTTCCTTGTTTCTCAGCTGCGTATCTCGTGTTTTTACTTGCAAAGATAAAGACTGAAGGCTCTCACTTTGTCGACCACATATTGAAATAAAATAAAACTCAAATTGGAGTGAATGAGATGCTAAAACCTAGTGGGGGGAGGTGGGGAACTGCTTTAAATCATCATATAAGTTAGGCTAGAGCTTCAGGACCTCATCCCAATACCAAGGACAAGCAGTTACTAAATGCACACTCTATCTGATCTACCTTTCAAGTGACAGGGATAGAAAAACATAATGTTCTGGTTCATTGAACTCAAGGATAAATAAAAAAAGTATGACATAATGTAGGAATTGTGAGGAAGAGGTGGGAAGGTTTGAGGTCTGAAAGTGGGAAGGATTTGAGCCCTGAGGAAAAGTCTGGATTGTGAGATGTAGTAAGTAGTAGGTAGGAGAGCACTCTGGACTGGGACAGGCACTAGGGAGCAAAGTCACAAAGGAGGGACTCTCTGTGGGTATTGCACAAGAGTAAGAAGGGCAGTGTCTGCATTGGAGGGTTAATGAAAGAAGCCTGGAGAGATAAGGTTGGTGAAGATATACTTAACTGGATTATGGCTTGAAAGTTGGGCTCAGTTTAGACTTTACCCTGTAGGCCAAGGAAGGCTTCCCAGCAGAGAGGTGTTTTGAACAACAATGTGTTTAGGAATAAACAATAGAGATTTATTCTAGGATCATCTGTCCTAACAGTGGGTCCTTTTATCAAATACAGATTAATCAGAATCTATTGTGGCCAGTGAAAGGAGTGTCCCAAATTATATCCTGGGGCAATTTTACTACCATCTATGCCTGGAAATGCAATTCTGATACTTTTCTTGATTGATGACAAACAAGGTAACCCGACTCCAGGAAAAGGGGGGGGGGGGAGCATATCATACTTGCTCTTACGACTACTGCAATAAAAAACACATTTTGGAGCTATATTTGCATTAACTATACCAAAGTCCTCGTAGTTTTAGAAACAGCTTTTATCCCATTCAAGTTAGAATTGATAACCTTTTCTGTAAGTAGTGAGACTAACATTAGGCACTGCTCAATATGCTTTAAACAAATCCCATTTATAACAGAACATTTTATTTCCATTACTACTGGCTACTTCTGTCACCTGACTATGTGTCTCCGTCTGAAGCCTCATGACCAGGTCTCGAGATCTGGGGCAGGAAAAATACCACCTATCCATTTCTGAATCTTAGCCATAGGAGAGCACAAAGATTCTAAAAGAAATTTAAAGGTAAAAAAGGTTGCCCAGCTGGTGTGGCTCAGTGGATTGAGCAGTTGTCCCATGGACTGAGAGGTCCCAGTTGAATTCCCAGTCAGGGCATATGACCTGTTTTGGGTTCGATCCCTAGTAAGGGATGTACAGGAGGTGGCCGATTGGTGTTTTTCTCTCACATCCATGTTTCTGTTTCTCTCTCCCTTCCTCTCTAAAAAAATAAAAACATATTTTTAGCCCTGGCCGGTTGCTCAGTGGTAAGAGCGCCAGCCTGCAGACCAGAGAGTCCTGGGATTGATTCCTCCTAAGGGCATGTACCTCGGTTTCGGTTTGCCTGGGGTTGGGGTCGTGTGGGTGCCGGCCACTCAATGTGTCTCTCTCACATCAATGTTTCTCTCTCTCTTCTTTCCTCTCTCCCTCCTGCTCTATCTGAAGATAAGTGAAAACAAAAAAAAAACAAAAAACTGTCTTTGGGTGAGGTTAAAACAAAACAAAACAAAACATATTTTTATAAAAAGGTGAAAAAGTTTTTGGAACAGAGGATCACAATGAATACACACACACACATACAATTATACATAGTACATATACATAAAGGATCACAAGTTAAGAATATGAGAGGCTTTTTTGTTGTTTTTACTGAGTCAGGGCTACAGAGTTGAAAAGAACTTAGAGATGTTAAGAGTTATCTTTGAAAAAGACTTTTCAGAAAACACAGACTAGGTTCAGGGACCTCTCCCTAGTAAGGAGTGAATGAAGAAAAATGGGGGCAGGGAAGGGAGTAAAATGAAAGATTAGATTACAAATAGGCCAAATGAATGAACCTGAGTGGAAGTGATACAATTCTCAACGCACACATCTGTGTTTATACTAGGGAATAGCCCTGTTAACGGCTAATGGCCCCCTCTCCGCAAGACCTGAGTAACCTCACTCCTTGACAAAAAGTAGGACCACGGTTTTCACCTGGGTAAAACCCGCCCCCTCCCCTGCACAGCGGTTGATTGTTTCAGATCCCTCCCAACATAGGAACAATCCCCGCGCTGGTCAGGAGGACCCTCCAGCACCGCTGCTTACGAATGCCAGGTGCCTGGCACCAGACCTGTCACTGCTTCCTGACTAAAATGTCTTCCAGGGCCCTGGCCGGGTAGTTCAGCTGGTTAGAGCGTTGGCCAGAAACACCAAGGTTGTGGGTTCCATCCCTGGTCAGGGCACATACAAGAATCAACCAATAAATGCATAAACAAGTGTAACAACATATAGATGTTTCTCTCTTTTTCTCTCCTTTCCTCTCTCTCTAAAATCAATCAAATTTTAAAAATAAAATATCCTAGTCTGATCCCAGGTGAAACTGAAACTCGAGGTTCAGAAAGCTGTCTTGGACCCTTTCCTCACACTCCGTTAGAGAACCAGCCGTAGGGGTCACCACCCCCATTCCCATGCCACACGCTTCCTGTCTCTCCCATCACACCCACACCACAACTTTAGTTTCCCATTCATTTCACAGCTATAATCAGCATCCCAGCCTAGGAGGCAGGGGAGGCGGCTTTCTCTCCCCGACTCCTCACTTTGGAACTTCGGAAAGAACCTAAGAGGGAGGCTGAAAACACTGGGTCAGCGAGCAGCATTCTGCCCACCTCGCCGGTTACAAACTCCTGAATGAAATGGCACTTTGGAAAGGAGAAGGGCGACCACCGAAACTGGGGTCCCTCCGAGTAATCGGGGAGCGTCGGTTCCGGAGTAACCTGACCAGTCCCGGAGCCCAAATGCCAAATGCACTTTCAGCCACTCGGCTTCCCCAAACCTGAAGTAGCTTGCCCCGCCGGACTCAGAGGGCTCTGACCCCCACCCGCCCCACACTGGGCCTGGGAAGTGGAGTCTGCGCCCCCGAGGGCAGCGGGAGCCGGCCCGGCCCCAGGCGGTGCGCGCACCCAGTGTCTTCGTCCGCCGCCCAACTTCGCGCCAGGAGGGCCGCTCCCCCGCACTTAGCGAACACTCACCAACTCCATACTTCTGCCGCTTGGTCGGGATCCAGCGGGCCATGGCGGCGACTTCGGCCCGGGGCGGCGGCGACGGCTGCTAAAACTCCTGGGGCGCCAGCCACCGCGCCGCCAAGCTCCTGCGCGCCCCAACCTCCTCCGCCATGTTCCGGCAAACTTCGCCAACCCTCGGGCCGGCTCCGCGCTGCCCTGCGCTGCCCTGCGCTGCGCCGCCCGCGCCCGCCCGGGATTCGCTCCGGCTCCCGCCCGGCCCGCGGTCACCTGCTGGGCCGGGCGGCCGCACCGCCTTGCGCACCCCTCCTGGCGCCGCCCCGGCCCCTCCCGCCGGCCGCGCCCTCCGCCCGCCTCCGCGCCCCGACCAGCCTCTGCAGCCAGCCCTCCCCCGCCCCGGCCAGCTCCGGTTCGGCCTGGCGCACTTCCCTAAGCAGCTTCCCAGGGCAGACTGGGGTCTAGTTGGCCCTAGTGGTGTTTTGCTCCCCCCCCCCCCCCTCCGCGAAGCTGGATCGGTGGGGCGGGTTCCCCGGCGCGGGCGTCAGGAGGGCTGCGCTTGGGGCGCTGGGCACCCGGGGCCGGGCGGGTGGGCGAGGATTGCGGGGTCCGTTCCCTGTGCGCGCGCTGGAGCCCGGGAACACTAGTGAGAGCTGCTTCTCGCCCCGCGACCCCCACCCCGGTGCCCGGCACTCGGCAGCTCTCAATAAATATTTGTTGAATGAATGAGCAGTTGACTACAGCGTCCATCCCCTGGAACTTGAACTGACACCACGAGAGCCGGAAGCCGGACTCCACCGCAGACTTGATCTTCTGTGGCCGCTGTTTATAACCTTCAAAGCGGGAACAAGTGTCTTCTGGAAAACGGAGAACCATTGTAAGGGAGACGGGCTCATCAGAAGTATCAGATAGTTTCCTAGGGGAGCTTTGGTGGGAAAATTATTTAGAGAGCCCTAACTTTGAAATCTTGTATCCCCAAAACATCGGGACTCCTCCCCCAGCTGAAGAAATTCACACCTTCAGGCTCGAAAATAAAAGTCCGCTCCAAGACCTCGGTTTTCCAACAGACCAGCCGCCCAAGGATCATCCCTGCGGAGAAGGGGACCCGGCACATCCAAATTGTCCAGTGCACAGCCTGTGTGGTTTTGTGACAAAGAGCCAAACACTCGGGGACTGCTCTTTTGAGCTGCCTTAGACTCCTGTTGGCGCCCTCTGAAACTGCCCTCCTGACCTCGCTTCCTCCTGGAGAGACCTCAAGATTGGGTGGGGGTGGGAGGAGACGGTTGCTATTTCACACAAAGAAGTAAAAATCTGAGTAACCTAACCGATCAGCTGATTTATGTTCACCGTCTGAGTAAATGGCATTTGAGAGAAATTTTGTCCACGCAGTGTTTGATGGCTTCAGATAAACATGTAGTAAAATAGAAACTTGATTGAAGAATTTGTGCGTTTTAACTTTGTTAACTTTTTGCAAAGCCAGATGGGGGGCGGGGTCCTGATCATCGTCGTGGGCAACTCCTAGGCTTACTTATTCATCCACAAATAGGTTTTTATTCACAAAAATTTCACAAGTTAAGAAATCTGTCACTTTAGACTTAACATCCAAAAGGAATTCCACCATCTCTCCCAAAATGGCTTCTCTTTCTCTGTTTTCATGATTAACCTAGTTCCCCACGTTAGGTAATTTCTTCTTTCCACAAATATTTATAAAGTGCCTATTAAATGCCACATATTGTTTTAAGAATGGGGGCACAGTAGTGAATAAAGTAAAATCCCTAATCCTCTTTGAGCTACAGTCTAGAAGAGGTAAGACAATAAGCAAATAAATGTAAGCCTGTAGAGAAAATTCCGAAGCAAGGAGACTAGAATGGAAGAGGGAAACCCAGTTCTGTAGTGAATGGTTTGAAAAGGCATTTCTGGTAAGGTGACATAGAAATACAGACCTGAAGAAAGTGTGGGTTTCAGGGAAAGTATTCTGAACTCAGGAAACAAATTCAAAGGCCTGGAGGCATGTTTAGCAGAAACATCAGAGTCCTTGGTAAGAGGTGAGTAAGTAACAGAGTGTGGGAGCAAACCTGCTCCCAGAGGCACTGTGAGACCAGGTAGGACAGGACCGTGAAAGGCAGAGAAAGGGCATTCTTTGTTACTAGAAGAGAAGTTTGGAGGGTTTTGAGCCAACCAAGGACATGTTCTAATTTGCCTGCTTTGGTATGAATAGACTTAAAGACACAAGGGAAGATGCAGGAAGATCAGGGATGGGAGGCTATTTCATTAGTTCAGGCAAGAATGAAGGTAGTTGGGTTGAGGATGGGGAGGTGGAAGAGTTTGGATTATTGACATACACTGGGGGGGGGGGGGGGATCACCAGGAAGGCTGTGTGAGCAGAGGGCAATTACTGAGGTTTCTGCACCCCTCAGAGTAGTTTCATTAGCATATGTTTTTGGAAAGGTTGCCCCCCAAATAATGCTTTTTTGTGTGTGTTCTTTTTTCTAACTGATTTTTAGAGAGAGAAATGGTTTTTTGTTGTTGTTTTAACTTTTTTTTTCTTTATTGATTTTAGAGAGAGAGGAAGGGAGAGGGAGAGAGAGATAGAAACACTGATGAGAGAGAACATTGATTGGCTGCCTCCTGCATGCTCCCCTCTGGGGATTTGGCCCACAACCTGGGCATGTGTCCTGACCAGGAATTGAACCAATGACTTCTCGGTGCGTGGGTCGATGCTCAACCACTGAGCTACAGCAGCCAGGCCAAATAATGCTTTTTAAAAAGAACCACACTATATATATTTCTGGGCCCACAAACCTTGGATCTTATCCCTGGGTCAAGACACAAGGTGGGTCAAAGTTGACCCTCAAATTTTGGCCTTGAGCTACTGATAAATAGAGTTGTCATTTTCTTGGCCATATGTGATATCTACCTCGTCTTCACCCTTTATATCTAAATTATTCTGTACTGAAGTTTCCCTTCACTGTTTATTTAGAACTCACTTCTACATACCTTCCTCAGTAACTCTTTCTGTGAACCTTTAGGAGCTGATGCATTTTGCATTGTCGAATAGAGACTTCACCAACTTACTTGATCTGTGTTCAAGTTGGATGTCCAATGTTTTCTAACCACTGGCATATTTTATTTTATTATTTATATATATATTTTTTTGCATTTATCTTCAGATAGAGCACGCGAGAGAGAGGGAGGAAGAGAGAGAGAGAGAAACATCAATGTGAAAGAAACACATTGAGTGGTCACCACCCACACGACCCCAATTGGGCCTGGGGACAAACCGCAACCGAGGTATGTGCCCTTAGCGGGAACCAAACCCGGGACACTCCAGACTGTGGGCCGACACTCTAACCGCTGAGACAAACCAGCCAGAGTACTACTGGTATATTTTAAATTTAATACCTATCAGAGTGTTAATGCTCATCCAATGGAACTGGATTTCTACCAAAATGATAGAAATGAGCTGCTTCACCCCACCCTTGCATTGTAGGATATTTTGCAAAACTTGAGGTTTGTATTTGGGCACTAGCTATTTCAAGTTTGGCAATAATTGTGTTAAGAGAGCTGGGGGGGAATGGAAAATTTAAATTACAGCTTTCAGTATGTTTATTCTTTTTTTTTTTTTTTTGGCACGTGCCCCTAGCAGGCACGGAACCCAAGACTCTGGTCCGTAGGCCAGCGCTCCAACTGCTGAGCCAAACCGGCCAGGATTGGATGTTTATTCTTTTTCCTCTGAAGACTGAAGTTCACCCACTCTGTTATATCAGATGGTTAAATCCCAATTGGAATGTCTATTAAAATCATAAAAGCGGACTATTCAAAGTCTTTTATTAAAATGAGGCTTAAAATTAGAGAGTCAGTCAGATGGTAGGTGGGATAACAGCTTGATTCCCAGAAACATCCTTTTCCTTTTCCTCTGATTTCTTTTCAGAAGAAACATTAAGCATATTTACAACCAGAAATATTCAGACTCCAAAACCCACCCAAATATAACCACAATTATGCATACACCAACACTTGTGTGCTCTGCTTGGAGTGCCTTGGATAAAGAAATGGGGATAAATTAATTTGGAGGCTAGTTTGACATGACTATTGGACTATCCCTCACAGTGGAACACAGCTGCCAAGCTCTTCACTTCCTCCATTGATTACCAGGTCTTTTTTTGCCAAGGCTGGCTGACTGGATGGCTTCTCTGAGAGAAGCTTTGGGTTCTGTTTAAGCCTCCCCCCACCCCCTAGAGAGAGAAAGCTCATTCTTTGATCTACATACGGCCCGGGCCGTGAGTATATTTGCTAGAACTACCCTCCCTGCCCCCCTCCCCCCAAAAAAAACGAAAAGGAAAAAAAAGTGTTACTGGTTTGAAGCACCACTTTGCAGTTTCCTAAGGGCAGATGCTTAGGGATGTTCATGGTGATTCTATGTAATTTAGGAGCAGGTGATACATTGTAATTTGTCTAAATTGACAAAGAAGCCAATCTCTACAATCCTAGAAACACTGTTTTACTATGTGGAAAACTCACATTACTATCTACTCTCTGCCCCACAAATGACTTGAGGGGTGAGTATCTTTGGGTTTGTCCTTTGCTCTGCCATGTGGCTTTGGATTTTCAGTTGCTCTGGTGAGTGGGGGAGAGGATGATCAGTGCTCTAAGGCTATTCATACTCTCATCCCCATCGCTGTGAGATTCATGCTTGGTAAGCACTTTCATCCCTTTCATGAATACAGCAAAAAGCTTTTTGTTTTGTTTCTGGAATGCTCTTTGCTAAAAATATCTAAATGTGCTCCAACACCAATTTTGGGAGAAGCTGATAACATAAACAATATAAAGTCATGCCCTGGCCGGTTTGGCTCAGCAGTTGGAGTGTCTGCCCGTGAGTTTGGTTCCCACTAAGGGCGAGTGCCTTGGTTGTGGTTTGTTCCCAATCCCAGTTGGGGTCGTGTGGGTGACAACCACTCGATGTCTCTCTCTCTCTCTTCCTCCCTTTCTCCCTCATTAGTTGGATGAAAACTGGATTGATATTCAAGTGAGTAGGATTGAAAAAGACTTGATTTTTTAAAACTGTATTTGTAGCCGCCCTGGCCGGTTTGGCTTAGCGGTTAGAGCATCAGCCTGCGGTCCAGAGACACCCGGGTTCAGTTCCCACTGTTTGTCCCTGGCCCTGGTTGGTCGTGTGGGTGGCAGCCACTCGATGTGTCCCTTTCATGTCGATGTTTCTCTCTCTCTCTC